CCCACATAGTCCAACTTTCATTGACAAACTCACCCTAGCTGAGGTCATGGGGATGTTCAAATGGAGGGTAAACTTTTCCAATAAACTAGAATACTTCCGTTAGGAATTCTTTATTCCAGCCGACGTTCATCTAAGATTGGCTGGGGAGGAGGAATCCATGATGCCTGGAGAGACATATATGCCCTTCCCTGTAGTATCTATCATTTGGGGGTGGAGTCAGATTCCATCTTGATATCTTGTTTTTCTTTGGGTCGAGGTGCCTTCTTTTGTATCTGAACAAGTTGTCTTTTTGAATGCAAGTCCTCTTTTTCACTAAGTGTTCAATGCTTGTCTCTGTCTTTACTGTCTTGTATAATTCCATACTTGGAATATTTTTGTACTTCTCCAAAGTATACTTTAACTGTGTAATCACTTCGGGTTAGAACACATCTGACACATACCACCTCAAATCCACTTTATCTCGAGTACACCCTTAGTTGGCCACCCTGGACCAACTTACCTCAGAGTTCACCTTTTACTGTGATCTCGGCCGACGGGCATTTTATAAAAACTCTTTAAACAGCATTCAACAAGTATTGTTTTCTTACTTGTACTTACTGCCTTCCAATATTTCCAGGTTTGACAAACTGGCTAGTGATCTCGGGTAACCAACAACTCGAGTGTCCCTTATCTGGATACCTCGATTGACTCCAACTTGTAAAAAATTTCAACAAGTGTTAAGCCTATTCCTTATTCTTGCTTCCTGCCCCCTAATGTGAACCCAAGTGTCACTTATGTTCACGTTAAGCATGCATCTTTAATTTTGCCGAAGTCTGATTCAAACAAAGACTAGCCGAGGTATTCAACCTTGGTTTCTCTAAAGCAAACTTAGTTCGATTCTGAGTTTAACTCTGCCGACATGGCAAGTCTAGGTGAATTCAACTTAGTTCAACTCTATTATATACAAGTATAATTCAACTCTGCCATATAATAAGTCTAAGTTATTCGTCATGTTTCAATCATAAACATCGCCAACTTAGTTTAACTCTATTATATGCAAGTATAATTCAACTCTACCATATAATAAGTCTAAGTTATTCGTCATGTTTCAATAAGAAACATCGCCAACTTAGTTGAAGTCTATTATATGCAAGTATAATTCAACTCTGCCATATAATAAGTCTAAATTATTCATCATGTTTCAATTAGAAACATTGCCAACTTAGTTTAACTTTATTATATGCAAGTAGAAACTCTGCCATATAATAAGTCTAAGTTATTTGTCATGTTTCAATCAGAAATATCGCCAACTTAGTTCAACTCTATTATATGCAAGTATAATTTAACTCTGCCATATAATAAATCTAAGTTATTCATCATGTTTCAATCAGAAACATCGCCAACTTAGTTTAACTCTATTATATGCAAGTAGAAACTCTGTCATATGATAAGTCTAAGTTATTCGTCATGTTTCAATCAGAAACATCGCCAACTTAGTTCAACTCTATTATATGCAAGTAGAAACTCTGCTATATAATAAGTTTAAGTTATGCGTCATGTTCACCATGGGAACATCGTCATAAGACTATTCAGTCTTATTGTATAATCATGGATTCCAACAACATTTTTACGCTTCTTTACATAGGCTTCGACATCCTTTTGCATATAGGGCCACAAGAATCTCTGTGATATAGCTCTGTAGGCAAGGGATCTGCCCCCTGCATAGATCTCGTGTAAAAAGTCTTCAACCTAGAAAGGATGTACACATCGTAATAGAGGTCCAGTAAAAGTCCTTTTGTACAGATGGCCTTCTGCCGACAGGCAGAACTTGGGCGACTTCAGTCTGATCTTGTGTGCTTCTTTTTTGTCTTCTGGGATCTGGGATCTGCTCATTTAGGCTGAGCTCTTGTCTTCTCGGACCTACTCATCTACGCCGAGATTTTGTAGGATCTGAGATCTGGAATTCCGAATCTGCTCAGTTAGGCTGAACTCTTGTCTTCTCGGTCCTACTTATCTAGGCCGAGATCTTGTCTTCTGGGATCTGGGACCCGGGATCTAGAATCCGGAATTTGCTCACTTAGGCTGAGCTCTCATCTTCTCGGACCTAATCACTTAGGCCGAGATCTTGTCTTCTGGAATCTTGGATCTGCTCACTCAGGCTGAGCTCTCGTCTTCTCGAACATAATCACCTAGGCCGAGATCTTGTCTTCTAGAATCTTGGATCTACTCACTCAGGCTGAGCTCTTCTCTTCTCAGACATAATCACCTAGGCCGAGATCTTGTCTTCTGGAATCTTGGATCTGCTCACTCAAGCTAAGCTCTTCTCTTCTCGGACTTAATCACCTAGGCCGAGATCTTGCCTTCTGGAATCTTGGATCTGCTCACTCAGACTGAGCTCCTATCTCCTCCTTCTTATTGTGGATGTTGTCTCCAATCCTCACTTTCTGTTTGGCCATCTATCCTTACTAAGTTCCCACAGACGGCACCAAATTGTGGGTGTTGATTTCTGACCACACAACCAAAAGGGGGAACTCAACTGGAGAGCACTGGCAGAATAGATTAAACCCGAACAACCTGTCATAGAAAGATAAGAATCCCGCGGTGGTTCGTCCACTCGGGGGCACTTCGACGATCAAGTCAATAAAATATCTCTTAAAGATAACCAATAGTGCTTAACTCACTAGACAGAACATAAAAAGCATACCTTAGACCCACGAGGGTGCCTCCCTAATATAGCCAACACAATCCTAGTCCCAATAGAAGCCTAGTTCCAATGGACTCTGGATTACTGCTAATCTTAGACTCCTAATAGGATTGGAATAAACTCACTAAAAGTCTTATCTTTATTCAAATTGAAGTCTTCTCTCACTCTAGGACTCTTGTCCCTTATCTGCTTATCTCGGACTCTGGTATTATTGCACCATATCTCGACATCATGGTCCGCCCACGTGATATCTCGGCTAACAACCTTTGCCACGTGAACTATCCAAAAATATATCCCCATAACTATATTATCTTTAATTTTTATTAATATTCTCATTTTTCATTTTACAAAATTAACCTACTTTCGCCCCCAACCTGATTTGTCTTAATACCATACGGAGTCAAGGCAGGGGGAATACAATCCACCCCATTGGTAATAAACAAGAGTAATGTTTGATCTAGTAAACAGTCAGACTTATTAAACCAATAAATATTAACACATGATAAATACAACATGTTAAGAATTCATGCTCCTCTAGCATTATTGCAATGAGTACCCAAAAAAGGGATTCGGAAAAGAAAAAAGTTAGGAATCATGAAATTTTTTTTATGAAAATGATCATGAAAGGTTTATGATCATTGGATTACCTTGATTAGTGTGTGGTGCTTTATTCTAAGTATAATTTAAGGGTCACAAAATTTTTATAATTATTTCACGAAAAATTTTTCATGATACCTAGTGTTGTTGTTCTAAAAGGCATGTGAAGAATTCAGGCTCTTCTAGCATTTAATGAGTATTAGATTTACTTTTGAGATTAGTGATATAATAATTCATTAGATATTATCAGAATATTTAAGACAAATATTTTTTTTTTCAACAAATAATCTCTTGTACACTATAATAAGTCTTAAAAATAAATCTAAAAAATGAACTTTTATAGCATTTTACTATGGTAATTTTTTTTTGGTTACAGGAAAATCCTCTCACTCCTTTGCAAGTCCAAGACAGTGCCCCTCTCAGAGATTGCCAAGATATCTTATTATTTATTTCAAATAAAAATGAATAAATTACAAACACACCCCTCAGATTTATTTAAATTACAAATTACCTTATGTAATTCTAGAAATTACATTATGTCTCTTAAGGTTTCTAATTTCATAACAAATAAGTCATTTTATTAATAAATTATAAAATTAATTAATAATTTTTAATAATGTTAAAATTTTGTTTCAATTAATAATTCAGATAATTTTATTACTGTATAGGTGAACAGTTAGAAATTTTATTTTTTTAATTAATTCTATTAAATAAAAAATTCTGACAGAAAGGTATTTGTAATTTTCCAAACTATAAGAGACAATTTCTATTTTAAGTAAAACTCAAATAATGTATTTATAATTTACTCAAAAAAAATTAATTTATTCCGAACTCCCAAATTATAAGCAAAAATGTTTGGAAGCTCTAATTAGAGCCACCACTAATGATGTGATAATAATTTCCTATCACATTGTTTTTTTTTTTTTTTTTTTTTTTAAGCATAAATCACATTGTTTGAGTAATTTCCACCTCCCTAATGGTGGAGATTTAGAATTTTTTATTTAGACCTTTAAATCATAGCTGAATTTTAAGTGAACCTGCAGCACACGGAACAAAGGAATCACTTCAACACCCACCTCATCACGCGGAGCATTCACACTTCCCACTGACTTCCACTAAAAACAAAAACATTAACAGTGTGTTTGGTTTGAATTTTTTGAATTAAATTTTTTAAAAGTTAAATTTTTTGATTTTTGTATTTTTTTATTTTTAGTGAATATTTTTTAAATTTTAAACATTTTTTATATTTTTTTAGATGTACCTTACTTAGATTTATCTAAAAAGTAAAAAATTTGTGAAAAAATATTTAAAAAATTAATAAATACATAAAAATACAAAAAATGTACTGAATTCTTGTATTTTTTTTGTATTTTTAGTATTTAGTGAATTTTTAAAAGATTTTTTTTATAATTTTTTTTACTTTTTAGGTGTATTTATGTTAGGTATGTCTAAAAAGTAAAAAAATTGCTTAAAATATGAAAAAGATTCAGTAAAAATAAAAAAATACGAAAAATAAGAAAGTAGAATTTTTTAAAAAGTATTTTGAAAAACTGAAAACCAAGCAAGGTGATTGTTATGCAAAAACAATGAATTAACTAATACTATTATCAATGTTCAATATCATATTATCATCACAGAATGGATGTAACTTCCTGGAAAGAGTTCCATGTAGTTGCCACTAAAGAAATAGGCAAAAGCAATTTGCATGTTTGGAAAAAAAAAAAAAAAAAAAAACAGATTTTATAGCATATGCATGAATTTAATACTACAATGCCACACAAATCAACGGAACCTCAGTTGACAAGGAGCATCACAATTTCCCAGTTTAGATCACCATTTCCTCCTAATTATTATCCCGTCAAACAAGACAAAAGCCTACTGCAAAGAGACACTCAAAACAGAAAATGGCTGAAACTGCAGTGTTCCGTTTACTAGCCAACATTGCACCCTTCCTCCAAGAAAAGGTGAATTTGTTGAGCGGAGTTCGGCAAGAGATTGAATTCATCAGAGATGAATTCGAGCGCATGTCAGCTTTCCTCAGAGTTGCTGATGCTAAGGAAGAAAGTGACCCCCAACTCAAAGTTTGGGTCAAACAAGTCCGTGATGCTGCTTATGACACTGAAGATGTTCTTGACAAATTCAAGCTTCACCTTGCAGATCATCATGGCGATGGATTCGGTGGTTTTGTTCGTAAGATCTGGAGCTCCATCAAGACTTTAAAAGCTCGGCGCCAAATTGCTTCTGAAGTACAAAGAATCAAGTCCAGGGTCATCAGTATTTCCCAAGGACATCAGAGATACCATGATAAATATGGTACACTAGAGCAAGGATCAAGGTCCACTTCTGTTAACAATGCATGGTATGATTATCGTGGCGATGCACTTCTACTCGAAGAAGCGAAGCTAGTGGGTATTGAAAAACCCCAAAGACAACTGATTGGGTGGCTAGTCGAAGGAGGTCCTGGGCTGAAAGCAGTTTCGGTGGTGGGAATGGGAGGCTTAGGCAAAACAACCCTGGTTAAAAAGGTCTACGATGATGCAACGGTGAAGAAACATTTTAACAGTCATGCTTGGCTCACTGTTTCCGAGTCATTCAGGGCCCAGGATCTCCTGAAAGACATGATTCAACAACTCTTTAAAGAAATCATGCAACCAGTCCCTGTTGGAGTTGAAACTATGAGCATCGACAAGTTGAAATATCTGGTTAATAATTTTCTGCAAGAAAAAAGGTATGTGGTTGTTTTCGATGATGTTTGGAATGTAAAAGATTGGGAGGCTATCAAACACATGCTGCCTGACAAAAATTGTGGTAGCCGTGTCATTCTTACAACTCGTTTCACCGATATAGCTTCTACTTGTTGTGAAGAAAATGATGGTGATGTTTATACCTTGATGCCGTTGTCCTCAGAGGAGTCTTGGACACTGTTTTGCAACAAGACTTTTCGGGGAGACTTATGCCCTCCAAACTTGAAGGGAATTTCTCTTCGAATCTTAAAAAGGTGCGAGGGATTGCCGCTTGCAATTGTAGCAATAAGTGGTGTTTTGGCTACAAAGGATCAGAGCAGAATAGATGAATGGGAAATGCTTTATCGCAGCCTTGGTGCTGAATTAGAAGGCAATGACAAACTAGAGAGTATGAAAAAAGCGCTCTCTCTCAGTTACAATGATCTGCCTTATTATCTAAAGATTTGTTTCTTTTACTTGAGCATTTTCCCGGAGGATCAACAGATATTGTGCAAAAAAGTAATTCGACTTTGGATAGTAGAAGGATTTGTGAATGCTATTGAGGGGAAGACAATAGAAGAAGTTGCAAATGGCTACCTCAATGAGTTATTCAATAGGAGCTTGATTCTAGGGGCAGAGAGAGATCCAGATGGAAGGCCTCGTGATTTCCACATTCACGACCTGATGTGTGAAATTATTGTTTCCAAGGCGAGAGAGCACAACATTGTAACAACAATTTGCAGACAGGGCTCCAGGTGGCCGGAGAAGGTCCGCCGCCTATTGATCCGAAGCACCTCGAATAATATAGAATATAGCAAGCGTTCTTCTCGACTTCGTTCTCTGTTTGTGTGGGGGCCGATGGATTCATTCCCTATTGCATCCTTGCGTGAGTTGTTTAGAGGTGGTTTAAAGCTGCTAAATGTGTTAGATTTGGAAGGTACACCATTGGAGATTATACCAGATGAAGTTTTTAAACTGATCCATCTAAGATACCTTGGCTTAAGGGATACAAAAATAAAGATGGTCCCAAAGTTGATTGGGAGGCTTGAGAACTTGGAGACCTTTGATCTACGAGGAACCTATGTGACTAAGCTTCCTGATGAAATCCTACGCCTTCAGAAATTGCGCAATCTCCTATCATTTCATTTTAAATCAGGAGGCATTTATTTTGAATTTGAAGATTTTAGTGGCTTTAAAGCTCCATCTCAGTTACGAAGCTTGCAATCTCTACAAGTGCTGTGGCTGATAGAGGCAGACCAAAGAAGTGAAGGTGAGGTTAGTATAGTGAAAGAGCTGGGGAGGCTAACCCAACTAAGGGAGTTAGGCATTGGGGATTTAAGAAGAGAAGATGGGGTGACTCTGTGCTCTTCCATTGAGAAGCTCAGCAATCTTCGCATATTATATGTAATTTCAACAAAAGAGGATGAGATCCTTGATCTGCAATCTCTGTCTCTAATTCCTCAATTTCTTCGAGAGTTATACTTGTATGGGCTTTTGGAGAAGTTTCCGCACTGGATACCTTCTCTCCATGGCCTTGTTTGTTTAGTTTTAGGGAGGAGCAAGTTAAGAGATGATCTTTTGCAATCCCTACAAGAATTACCCAATTTGGCTAAGCTTACACTTGATCAGGCGTATGAAGGGGAGGGACTGTGTTTCAAGGCAGGAAGGTTTCAAAGGCTTAAAGATTTGCTTCTTTGTAAATTAAAAGGATTGAGATGGGTGAGAATGGAGAAGGGAGCAATGCCCCACCTTGAAGCTCTAAGTATCAGAAATAGTGAATTGATGGAGGAGGTCCCCTCAGGCATCGAACATCTAACCAACCTCCATACGTTTGAGCTTGGGGATATGTCTAAGAAATTGATTTCAAAGTTAGATCGAGAAGTACCAGATGGGGATTATTGGAAAATAGCGCACATCCCTCAAGTTAGAATTTGGTACTTAGAACCTGGTCAAAATAAGTAAAGTAAAGTAAAGTAAAGTTTCTATGAAGAGAGAGGATGAGGAAGGAGAAGAGCTCTCTCTAGATTGGATGAGTACCATAGTAAATAACCATTTTCCCTCCTTTCTTTCATTTTTATTACATATTCAAATGATGATTGATTTTCTTCTTGATCTAGATGATAATTGGTAAGAGTAATTGGTTGCACTTTATTTTTACTTATTTAGCTCCTATTTGTTTGCAGTGGTCACCCTAAATTTTTATTTTAAGATAGACATTCAAAAATTTAAACTTTATAAATCTTTTAATTTAGACTTTTTTAAAACACAAAAAAAAAAAAAAAATCTAATTAATTGATATAATTGTTTCAAAAATTAAAATGTGGATACAAAAACTTTTATATAATTGTATTTTGTGTTTATCACTAGTATGATAAAATGTGACATTTTTTCATGTAAAGTCTAATTTCTTTGTAGTTAATTTGTGTAGTAAGTTATGAAATAAAATTTTGATCTTTCAATGAATTGGGAGCAAAAATAGGCATAAGATTTGAGATAAGAAATAAAATACATATTAAAAAAGGGATTAATTACACTTTTCACTTCCCTAGTTTGATTTAAATTTTACTCTAGTCTCTATAATTTTAATTTGAACAATTTACTCCATATATTTTAAATCTAGTTTCAATTTAGTTCTTCCGTTTACATTTTTGTTAATTTTGTCTATGTGTACACCTTAGAAAATTAACAAGTGTCTAAAAATTGTTGGTTTTAACTTTCAATTTAAACGAAAGAACCAATTTGAAATCTTAGAAAATTAACGTGTGTCCAAAATTGTTAATTTATTTTGTCTACATGTACATCTTAGAAAATTGATAAGTGTTTCAAATTGTTATTTTAACCTCCAATTTAGACGGGAGAATCAAATTAAAATTAGACTTAAAGTATATGGATAAAATTGTACAAATTGAAATTATAGGTACTAAAGTGAAATCTAAGTCAAATTACAGGGGTGAAAAGTTTAGTTAACCCTATAATATATTGAATTATTGTTTAAAAATTTATATATACTAGAGAGAATAAACAGAAACAAAGAAGAATATGTATATAAACTTAAACCACATATATTAGGATAAATTACACTTTGTCCTTTTTATGTTTAGTCATTTTCTCACTTTGGCCCTTGAAGTTTGATTTTTTTCACTTTGGCCTTTCATATTTCAAGTTTTTCTCAATTTACTCTTAAAACTAATTTCTGTTCAAAACTAGATAAAAAAATGTCACATTAACTGCCACATAACATAAAAAATTATTATATTAATATTTGAGTTTGTATAGAGTTGAGTTACATATAATAAAATATTTTTATATTACGTGACTATCAACATGTCATTTTTTGACTAATTTAAATTAGTAAAAACTTAAAACATGAAGAGTTAAAGTGAGAGAGAAAAAAAAAAAAAAACTTTAAGGATTAAATGAAAAAATGACCAAAAATAAAAGAGGTAAAGTGTAATTTACCCTATACATTAAGAGCATTAATGACCACATGTTTTTACTATATTTTATTTATCTTCTCATATGTCAACACTATATTAGTAAGAAAAATGATTCGTCCTCCTAATTTTGCCCCCCCAATTCCCCCCTCATTGATGTGGAATTAAGGGGCTAAAGATGAGAGAGAGTAGAGATGACAATTTGAAACTGGCTCGACGGGGATCTGACCCGCCGACTACGATTTAAGCGGTTTTTTTCCCAAAAAAAATCTCCAACGAGATGGGAATAGTATTCAAAAATCAATCCCTGATCAGTTTTGGGTAGGAAATGGAGATAAGTGTCCCAGTCCCGTACCCAGCCCGTCCCCATTCCCGTTTGTCCCCCAAGTGAAATTACTATTTTACCCATATATATATATATAAACCAAACCTTCATCCTCATCTCACTTCTCTCTCTCTCTCTCTCTCTCTCTTTCTCTCTCTCTCTCTCTCTCTTTTTCTCTCTTAACTCTATTCTCTCTCTCTCTTACTCTAGCACCTCTCCTCCTCCTTAGCTCCACCGCACTGTTCGCGATGCGCATCGTCCTCCTCCGTCGTCACAGCCACATCATCCATTGTTCTCCTTCGTCGTCGCAGTCGCAGTCACCCTGTCGTCACAGTCGCAGTCACCGATCGTCCTCCTCTGTCGTCGCAGTCGCAATCGCAGTCGCAGTCACAGTCACTGATCGTCCTCCTCCGTCGTCCATTACTTCCGTCGTTCATCGCCTCTGTCCACGACACAAATAAACAAATCTCAAATCTGTTTGTGTATGCATGTATACATGTATGTGTGTGTAGATCTGTCAAATTTTTTTTTTTTGTAATGGATCTGTTGATGATTTTGTTGATATTGATGTTGAAAATGAAACAATTGGGAATGATGATGATGATGTTGTTGATGGTGTTATTGAAATAGATTTGGACTGAGGAATTTTAGGGGTTGGTGAAACCCGATCCCCGTTAAGAGGCGGGGACAGGGATGGTGATAGGTTTCCTATCGGGAATCAGGGCCGGAGATGGGGAGATTTTCACAATCGAAGATCGGAGACGGGAAGTGTGATCCCCGGCCCGTTACCATTCCTAAGAGAGAAGAGTGTGAGACCACTTCATTTGAATTTTAACCATGTCATTGGGGGTGGAATTTAAAGACCTCAATTAGGAGGATGTAACATTGCTCATATTAGTAATAAGCATGATTAGTGATACTCATTAAACTAACATGATATTAGCACAAAAGATAATAAATAAATTATAATAAAAAAAAGATAAGCATAACATTATTATTTTAATAATTTTTGTGTTATGGATTGAGTGTTCAATGCAGTGGGTTGGTGTGGGAGTGTTCAGGAGAGCCAGCTTTCGCCGAAAGTCGACAAAGCTGTCGCTTTCGGAACTCCGAAAAACAATTAAAACAAAGGGCCCCAAAAATTAATTCATTTAGTGTGCATTCTTAAATTTGTTAGTTTTTATAAGTGATTAAAGTTGATTTTTTTTTATATGAAAAATCGCTAATTCCAAATAACCTCTATTTTTTTTTTCTTTAAGAAAATAGCCTTATATGCAAATTTATAAAAGTGCCAAAAAAAAAGAAAACGTAAGTAAAATTTTCTTACGCTAAACAACTATTAAAAAATACTTAAAAAATAAAAATATATCAAATAAATTAATTTTTTGAAAACTTATTTTTAACCAATAAATTAATTTTTTTTAGCTAACTCTCAAAGATGTTTTATATCAAAACAAAATTGTTTAAGTATCAATTTTAGAAAGAGTACTGCTATTAGCACTCCTTCAATTATTTTGAAATCCCGCTTATAAATTCTAAAATCTTTAAAAAAAAATTTCTCCTTCTAAATAATACTAAATTATCCTTATTAAAATATTTTACTCATTCAATTGAATGCACATTCCTATATCCCAAAAAGCCTCTCTTCCAAAAACTAGAACAAAACTCACAAAGGTGATTACTACTTCATTTTTACATATTTGTTCATGACCTAACAAAATAAATATCCAGTTACCTATTCACAAACAAATAAACAATGTTCGATCTTGTATTTTTGAAAATAAAGAAGATGATTCATAAAAAAAATCAAATTAATCACGTTATATTTAATTTAAAACAATATATAATTTATTTTTAAAATAATATATTATTTTTCATTCTTTAAATTAATTAGTCAATGACACTTATTTGGTTTCACTCCTTTTTACTTTCTTCCTACTTTTCTCACCACTATCCCACCTTTGTATATTCACTTTTTTCTTTCAAAAAAAGTGGATAGGTGTGGCATGGGTCCAGCTTTTTCACTTACGCGTCTATTGCCTTGTTTGGAAGGTTAATTATTTTAGTAAGTTATTTTAATTTTTGATTATTTTAGTAAGTTAAATTTTTTGTGTTTAGAAAGATAGAATACTTTTTTTTGTAGTTTGATGTGATATTTGTAAAAGAAAAAATGGAATGATTATAAATTTAATGTGACATTTTCTCTTATTAACTATTTTAACCTATTTTATCTTTTTGTGAATTTTAACTTAAAATTAGCTATTTTAGCCTTTATCAAACAAGGCTTTCGAGAGAGTTTCAGATTATCTAGACGGACTTAAAATATTCACTCGTGAATCACAAAACAAGAGGAAAATTGTCTTTTTTTAAAAAAAAAAATTTTAGAGTTGGATTTTCCTCATAATTAAAGGGAGTTGTTCAGGCCCCTAAGATTCATCATCAGTTTCATTTCGATAATTTGAATAATTCATTTTAAAGACCTTTTGTATATCATTTATAAAAAAACATTAAGTGAATTCAATAATCATAAACTTATAATTTTATCACGTTTATCATTAAAAATTATCAAATTTACTGGTCTGTATAATATTGCTTTTAAGACTTACATGAATCCCATTAGAAGAATAGAGAATAGAAATTAAAAGTATTCTTTCTCAACTTTTTAGTAATTAATTTTTTTAATTTAATTAAATTATTTTAGTTTCATAAATTATATACCGACACAAATTATCAAAATTTAATAAAAAAAAGAAAAAAAATATAAATGACACTCATGAATTACACCAAACAAGACCAAGGGAACCACTAAAACAACAACATCACACTCCAAACAAAGAAATAAGCATCCTCCAGTGACTTCCACCAAAAACAACAAAGGTAAAGCGCAAACGAAGACTTTAGGACTGTCAATATTATCACAACAGAACAATGGTTACTTCCTAGAAAGAGTGCTGAAGTGGCCATCAAAGTTTCAAATAGAAAAGAAAAAAAAGCAGATTTCATAGCAACCATAAATACTCCTGCATTGCCACACATATTGTTAGTAGATTTTTTAATATTATAATTTGTTATAAATTATATTATGTGATTGGACTCCAAATAACTTGTTAATCCTTTCTTTTCTTCCAAGAAAACTTGCCCACCAAGTTTCCAAGACATGTCTTCCATGACAAGTCTTCCAAGTCTTTCAAGTCTTCTTCTCAAGTCTTCCAAGGAAATTGCTCACCAATTTCTTTTCCTAATCTTATCCACTTAGTGTCTTTTCCTCCAAGCCACTTGCCTAACAAGTTTCATCTTCTA